CGACAGCGACTCTGTTACTCAAATAGAAAAAATTTATCAAGCACCGAAAATATTTTTTCCGAGCGTGGATAGCAGTGTCAGGACAGAATCAAGTAAAACAATTTGAAAACAGCGTCAGTACAAAATAAAGTAGCTTGGCTTGACTTTTCACGGAGTTGCTTACTTCAATGTTCTTGAGTCTTCGGAGTTTCACAAATGCAGGAACGGGTCTTTTTTTCCAAATCTTATTTGATTTATATTTTTGCATTCGTGCTTCATCTCATTGTCGTCGACAAAATTAATGTTCGAGAATGCTGCTCAACTGTAAACACAAACACACACAGACAAACAGACAGATACGCTCTTTATTGTAAGTCATAATATTCATATTCGAATAAGTAATCATGAATTGAATGGAGAAATATTTAAACTAATCGAATAATTGAATAGATGAAATTGTGAATATTAAACTATCCGAATATTGGAACAGTCAAATATCTAAAACTTGTTGAGCACGAAATCGTTTCCATCATGCTTTCGAATATTCGGATATCTGAGTAGGTGCTTTTTCATGACATTAAAAAAATCGAATATTCAGACAAGGCATTTTCTCAACTGGCATGATAAACGATTGTTAAAATCGCTGTCTCTATATATTCAACTGGTTTGATCAAATAACCAAATTTTTCGAATAGTTTGTTCAAATATTCGGCCTCAGCTATAGGCTCTACCATTCGACCATTACGCGTTGCAGTCGAATGTTATGTGCGAAGGTGCCTGTTTGTTGTAGATTCTTTCGCATCTTCTAGCAGAAAAGTGGGAAGATTTGGAAAATGAAAAAACCTCAGAATATGCAAATATCGATAACCACACGTATAAAAGTACGGAAGTGACTTTTTTTGAGTTGCAAATATTGAATCAATGAAATCTTCTCTTGTCTAATTATATTATTGCTTATGCAGCAAGAAAAAGCGCCGATGCATATCCAGGCTGCCAAAGAACGACATATACGCAGGACAGACATTTTTTGATCGAAAGTCCAAATTTTGTTTTAGCCTTATTTTCCCTTCACCCATCAGAAGATTTGACATGCTAAGAAGTAAAGAATATTGCATATTTTCTTGCTCTAACGGTGCATTAGCACTTCCTCAAATCAAATTCATTCGGACATAAACTCGACTCTGAGAGAAATACTGAGATAGAATGTGAGAAAATGCCTTAGAGAGAGAAGTCGAGTGTTCTACTACTTTGAATCGTTTTTGTGTTTCTTACGAGTCGTTAGTTTGTTAGTCCATCCACATGCTACCTGCCGAATGTTTCAAGGAATGCTGATGCTTTGTCAGGTTTATTGCTGGCTCGTTAACTTTTAAAATTGATGTCTTTAAGCTTTGATCCCTTTTTCACAGTTTAGCAATGCTTCCGAAGGGCAATTGGATAAATACATCAATGCATTACCAATTTCCTATACCAAAAAAATCAAAATATGCTGCGATCATATCGAAATTTCTTACAATAAATAGCCGCTGAGACGCATTCCTTACCAGTCCAGTTTCGTTGTTTCGACGGTGTTGTGTTTCATTTGAAAAAACCTCATCCTTCCCAAAGCTGAAACCGTTTATTAACACTAGTGCTCTTCCATGGATTAGATTTTTCGTTTAAGAGCAAAGCAGTATCCGCGCAAGGACTGACTCATAAGAAGTTCGAAGTCAAGGTCTAATAAATTCGAAGACCCAACGATCGAATTTCTTTTTGAAGGTTCCAGCATCTAAGTTGTTCCTGTATATTCCCTCAAAGTATACAGCTATGACAGTGGAATGTGAAAATTCTCGGCGAATTAGGCGATGTTGGCGAATTCGGCAAAATTGCCGAAAAACGCAAAGACGCCGACTACGCCGACATCGCCGAGAATTTTCACATTCCAAAGTCATAACTGTTCGAATGCATGTATGGCAAATTTTATAATTTCCACTTACATGGATTACTCGACGTGCTAACAACAGTTTTTACATTGTTTTGCTGCTGGTGGCACATTATAGAATAGAATATCTGTCAAATTACACGACTTTCGAATTTGAATCACAATTCATGAGAAGGCAATTTTGTAACATCATAATCTGACGAACAATGCAGATAAAGATCTGTGCTAAGCATGGTCCGGTAGAGGTGTTCACAAAGTTTTGAAATCATAAAAACATGCAGACAATTTTCGCAAAAGATAGGCAAAAAGTGCAGGCGAATTTGCGATTTTGATGTGTTGAGCCACTTCTATCTCACTTTAGCTTTACTGTAACACTATGAGCAAAGTTTTCCGGTCAATCCGAGAACCTCAATATTTCCACCCAATCTTACGCCGAGGCCAATAGTGAGGAGCGAGCACGCTATATCGGTGTGTATTGCTTCTAAGAAGTTGGAAAAAATATGGAATGTATAGGTATGAGATAGGTTCTAATGTGATTTTTGGGGGAATTACGGGGCAACTTTAAGAGAGCCGATTTTACGGCCCGAGCATGCATGTTGGGGGACTAATAACTCTGCGAATATTACAGATATGAAGCTGGGGTTTGTTTTGTTGGACAGATCTTTGGATATATGATTTTTAGAAAGAAAGTCGTAGGATAACAAATTTTCATTAAAAGTGCCTAATTGACAGCCGAACTTGGGAAATCTGTCAATAAAAGCGAGTTCACGGCCTCGTATCTCTGCAAGTTGCAGGGCTGGGGTAATCTCATGTGGTCATTGACATGTAATTTTGGTAGCTCTATTTTTAGGGGAAGCTCGTGTCCATACCTCCAGTGTAGGAGGCGCTATAAGCGATGATGCATATTTTGAATTTTCCGTGGAAAGTAGGGATGACGAGCTGGGGTAGCCATTCTTCAGTTTGTATTCGAGGGGAACACCACATTCGGAAAAAATGCAGGGGCTCCGTATATGGGAGCCTATCTATAAAACTTCCCGGACTGCCCATGTTCGATGGTTTTTGAATCTTTGCATCTTTGGTAGTTGTGGAAAAGGTCATCACGGCACATATAAAAGAGCTGAGGCGTAGTCTTGTATATAGGTGGTCTTCTGACTTCCGCCTTCTGTTATCTAAGGTTAGTATGGTTTCTGTGATTCTGACGGTGTTTTCTCATTTGCTTTCTCTCGAAGAGTATTCTGAGTCTTTTCTTGTCGTCTGAAGGAATGGGTTGCTTATGATCTCGACTTCCAGGCTCTGAAGAAGGCGAAAGCGCCGAAACGTTAGCCGTCAATAAAGAACTATAACAATCTTGGAACAACGCTCACACACCTTTTCCACTTCCCGGACTTTTTTTAGTTCAGGCTCTCGCAATTTCTCACTTTTCTCCCTCCTCATTTTCCCCTCTCTTTAATACTGCAACGCGTGTGATAGTTACCCGGCGGCCATCTGCACCTGGTTAGGGGGCTGAAAAGGGCTAGAAAGGGGGTAAATAGGGCTGGAAAAATGCGATTTTTCCTTATTTTTCCTTATTTTCTCTTATTTTTTCTTATTTTCCTTGAATTTGATCGTGATGTGAGGGAGTAAGTGGGCGAAGCTTGTTTGGAGGAATTTCAGCTGTATAAAAACATGGAAATAAGCTTATTATAGAGTTTATCAAATTTTCTCGCTTACTTTTTCGCTCATTCTCCCGATTTTCAGGATTTCGCAACCTCCACAATATTGATTTTATCGATTTTTGTCGGTTTTTGGGATCTCGCAACCTTCAAAATATCGGTTTTATCGATTTGCCAATTTCCGGGATTTCACAGCCCTCAGAATATCGATTCTATCTTTTTGAGGATTTGGTGGTTCACTACCTCCAAAATATCGATTCTTCGCTTTTTAGTTGTGAACAAGTCCCGCCCACTTATGATGTTACTATACAATACTATACAACCTCCGTAAATGTCACGAAATTCCGAAAATTCGAAATTCCCGGAATTTCGCGAAACTTCGCTTCCCGGAGATTTTGCACATTATATGAGCGGTATTGTATTTGGCTGATAGACTGATAAATCCGTAATTTTCTCATCTGCTGATAGCAGATGAACAATAGGAACGGCTTGTGCATGTTTTCATTCAAACCTTCATGCTGAAGTGATCTATAAGCTTTTTCACAGTTATGACAATGCCATACAGTTATGACAGTGGAATGTGAAAATTCTCGGCGAATTCGGCGATGTCTAATAAATTCGAAGACCCAACGATCGAATTTCTTTTTGAAGGTTCCAGCATCTAAGTTGTTCCTGTATATTCCCTCAAAGTATACAGCTATGACAGTGGAATGTGAAAATTCTCGGCGAATTAGGCGATGTTGGCGAATTCGGCAAAATCGCCGAAAAACGCAAAATCGCCGACATCGCCGACATCGCCGAGAATTTTCACATTTCAAAGTCATACTTACTGTCCAAAGTCATTACTGTATGCAAGAAAACAGTTGTATTTTTGCTGTAACTGGTATACGAAAGGCAAAATAAGGTGAAACTAGGAAAATTGCTAATTCTCGGTTTTAGAGCTAATTTTTGGTCTTTACTCACATTTCTTGTTTCCTGACAAACAGTGCTAAAAAACTGAAAATCTCCAGTTTGTGCTTGAGAAGATAGATATACTCATGTACAAGCCAACAATGATTCGTTTGCAGCATTCCGGTTCTCATTTTTAGCTACGAGAGAAATACGATGTCTTTGTTAGAAAAACTTATGCGGAGAGTATAGGCATAGGGAAGTTTGAGTGGCAACATTCTTCGAAGGATTCAAGATTATATTCTTTAGCTTATTTAACACAGAAATAGTCCTGCGAGTGATTTAGTGATATCTTGAGGACTTGCTTTATTGAATCTTGTGTTTCTACATTTTTTTTCAATCTTTTCTTCTCTCCAATTTCTGATCTCCTGCGGTAGCATGAGGAACATGCAGTAATAAAGTTATCATGCAATCATCATTAGCAAGTTTAGTTAGTAAGAGTTACCAGATCTATGTGAAGTAATTATTGTCCTCAAATTGTATATTACTTGTCATACGGCAAATAAAAGGCATGGTTGCAGAATGCGAGTACTGATCTTTTCGTTTGTTCTCTCATCATGCTACTGTCTTCTTGGATTCCCGAGGTGGCAGACAGTTGGAGCAATGGGATTACTTCTTTGTAACGGTCAACCCGCTGCCGATGTATTTATGGTTTTGTATGACAAAGGTTACTGTGAGTAGAAATGCAAAGCTGAGCTCCACTTTAAATCATAGTTTCAGTTCACAAAACCAAGCTGGCTTATGTCGCAACGGACAAAAATGGATTTTTCAAATTTTCAGGCACTGCTAAAGAGATATTACAAATTAGTCCACAACTCCTCATTTACACTCGGTGCAACCGTAAAAGGGTACTGTTTTTTTTTCTTTGATGATGAACATTTGCATTTCCGAAAGAACGTTGAATTAAGCTTACAAGATCACACGAATGATGTTCAGGATGGATTCAATTCGAAAATGAAGGAGGTCTGCATAGACATTCCACCAAAGTATATAAGCAGAGGAAAAAAAGTAAAGCAATACTGGGACGTCGATATTGAGCTCGACACAGAGGCCAACTTATGCTCAATTTCCGCCGCGCAATGAATAAAGACTGTCGTCCGCAAATTTGAGTTGTACGGGACATGGATTAATGTCACATGAACAAATCTCAGAAATGCATTTGTCAGAGTAATTCTGCGCATCTTCTTTTTTTTCTTCTTGTCATTCCTTTAGCTATATGAATTTAGTTTCTTGACGTCCTCCGTCCTTTTTGCAATGTTTTTTAAGTCCACATCAGTCACACAAATCCGATGAAATTACAGCGCATTGCTTTGCGTTTGCTGTTTTTGCTTTTAGCTTAGACAAAGAAAATGCAAACTTTTTTTTCAAAAACAGACTATTTGGTCAGATCTCAAGAAAAAAACTAAAATAAACTTCCAGTCATAGGTGCGATAGGGGGAGCCGGACTCTCCCCAGGTGAAGGGGGTCTCAGCTGTTCCCGACCTTCCAGGGTGAAGGGGGTATGTGAGTCTAGGGGGTGGAGGAAGAGAGAAAAGGTAAAAAAGCGTGGTATGAAGAGGTCTAATTTGTACCTTATTTAGGCACAAATTGAAAAAAAAATCAAAAAATTTTAAAAGAAATTAAAAATTTGAAAAAATTAACTTTATGAAGATCTGTGCTCCTGTTTCATTGCATCAACAAAAAACGAAAGCAATAAGGTTTATCCCGAAAGATGTACAAGTTAGGAGCAACTTCAATTCCTGCACATCATCACCAACTATATCACTATCGCTAACGTCAGAGACAACAAGTTCGCTGCCTGAAAAATCTTCTTCTTCCTCCAAAAGGTCATCGGAGTAGAAGTAGAATTGCGTGCAAAAGCGTTCTGAGTCGAAAATGGATTTGAAACTTTCTTCTTCTTCTAAGCGCTTTTGTGATTTTTTTCCTGGCCCTCTGGTAGCACCAGGAAAGCCAGCAGGTAGGTGACCAGTTTCTTCATACCATCTTTTAGGAAATTTCAAAAAGTCATACGGTGACATCCTGTCTGGACCACTTATACCAAACCTTTAAATGAAGTTTTTAGATAACAATATGTTTAGTAGAAGGTTGACAAACCTTAAGTAATTGCTTAGATGCTCCATCGTTGTACGACTTCTGCGTTGTGTTCTGATAACAGAGTAGATAGAAAATATCTTTCTCCACCTCTGCCGTGCTAGTCGGAATGGAAACTAGCTTTGCCAGTAAGTCCATCAAATTTTTGCGGTAAGTATTGGAAAAAGAGCCAGATCGCATATGCTTTCGCAACACGGGAAGGAAATAGTGCATACTTTTTTGGGCCTTGTCGAACTCTGGCTTCACCTCCTCTGGCATACGTCCTGTTAGCTGATGAGAAAGCTGCTCAACTTTTTCTTTGAAAGCATCTGCGGAATAGCCGAAAAAAGTAGATACTATGCTGTGCATTGTTTTTTTTCAATATCATAGGTCATAATCTCACAAGGCGAATAACTTCCAAAAGCATAAAGCACAGAGTTGGCAGAGTTCGCACTCCAGTCGGGATCTAAGAGCAGTAGCTATGCTTTGTACTAACAGCTTCCTTCTGTTCATATCCATGTTTGTGAATTTAGCAGCCTTGAATTCTTCAGCAACCTGAAGATCAGCAATGGACTTCCTGGACATTTCCTCATTGAAACTAGACAATCTGCTTAGATTCCTTATGCAGGAAATCAGAGAGTTTCGCTCAATTGTCAACTCTATATCAATGTCGACAACATTTTCGTCGGCGTAAAATTCTCCTTCTGCCTCGCTGTGGAACTGAAACACATGCGAGTAATCTGCGATTTTGTAAAGTTTCTGCCTGCCGTTTCCTCTTCAAACTGCCAACCTTTCCAAAACATTGAGGGATATTTCAATAACATGTTATTCTTCTGAATGTCTTAAAGTTTTTGATTCATTGAAACCAACCATTCTCTACAAATTAGGTAAGGTGAGCCTAGAGCGTTTTCACGAAAGTGACCTTCTTCAGCACTAGGCTTACAGAGTATAGATTCCAGAAATGGGCGGGTTTTTGCGTGAAGGTGTGGAAATTCACCAATCTCCCATAGTTTTTTGAGTGTGCGCTAATAATGATGGCATAACTGTCATCAAAAGAGCACTTTTTACCAAAAAAACATGAACATATAACAACGATAAGCACGCTTAAATAGAGGCGTTCGCTCACGTTCTCGTTAGTGCTGATAACGATGTCAATCCACAGCACATTTTTTTATTATTAACTTGCTCCACCTCGCTCTTATTAGGTCGTCCCGAAAGTTTTTGCGCACGATTTTCAAAAATTCATAATTTCTGATTTTTCCAACCGATTTGACTGCTTTTACTTTTATGTGAAAGAGTAAGTCATGCTTTTTATATCATCTGTTGCATAGATAGGAGCGATAGAAGAAAATAGGTCAAAATTTGAATTTTCTGTATAGGGCCATGAAAAATCGGAGACTTGCAACAAAAATCGGAGCAGTCAGTATTGTAGGTTCCTTCACCAGCTCTTTCTATCAGTGCAAAGTTTGCGCTGATTGAGGGTCTCTATGAAAAGTTACGATTTCCCTAAAAAATGCCAAAATAAACCAAATTCGCCCTTTTGTATTGCTTGCTCGAAAATCATAACTTTTTATAGAGACCCTCAATCGGCGCAAACTTTGCACAGTTGGAAAGAGCTGATGAAAAACCTACAATCCCGACTGCTCCGATTTTGTTGCAAGTTTGCGATTTTTTATGACCCTACACGAAAAATTCAAATTTTGACCAATATTCTTCTATCGCTCTTATCTATGCAACAGATGACCATTAGTAAGCAGATAAGATGTCATTATGAAAAACATGACTTACTATTTCATACGAAAATAGAAGCAGTCGAATCGGTTGTAAAAATCAAAAGTTACGAATTTTTAAAAATCGTGCGCAAGATTCGGGACGACCTATACAATGTGTTGGCATTTATGGGTCACCGAGCAAATGATTTTTAGAGCCGGGAAGCAAAGAAGCCCTAACATGCTGTATACCATTCGAAAGCTGAGATCATGGAGAATCGACGTAGACCGTCGACTTTTTTCTAGGTCTTCTGTGCCGCGAGATATGAGGGATTTTATGTGCTTCAAAAATTAACTGCTTTTTTGTCCTCACTTTCTGCTCTCCAAATGAATGCTACGAGGATAAATAAATAATATAAATAACATAGATAGCGTTTCTTTTGTAAATTTGTGAGTGTACTTGTTGTTTGAGATACTTAGCCTGCAAAACCTTTTAGTAACAATCCTATTCTCAGAGTACAATACCAATCTCAGCCCAGGTGAAGGGGGTCATCGGGAGTTTGGCCATAAAGTGAAGGGGGTAAGATCCATCACTCCCCCTATCGCAACTATGGTCTCGACTACTTCACGCAAAAAAATCAATAATCAATCATTTCCAATTTTCTCGTTCAGGTTGAAGCGGAATCTTTATTCAGTTTCTGCATTGAAGTCTCGACTACTTTTCTTTGCTTTTCATAGTGTTAACTCATAGTGTTTACTTTCGTGGTGTTGGCTTTCCTCGCTACTCTGCTCTAGAATTTTTTGCTTTGATCTGCCTGAGTTGCTGTAGTTTCTGGTTCTTTGCATGAAGCAACGATGGCGTTAACTGAAACATGTCGCTGTCAGTTGTACAACGATTGATCACAGACGAGATTCTATTACTTGAAGACGAGCAGAGAAGGACCAGCATGAAGACTCAACCAGTGAGTGTTTTCCCTTGGTTTCTTGCTGTCCATTTGTTTGGTCTAGAGGCACGGAGGGTGGGAATGGACATATTTATGCTGCTCTAAGTTTGTACTGCTTGTTTTCGGGTAATCTGCGCCGCTTCCATAGAAGCTATGTTCAATTGTTTTCTTTATTTAAATAAAACTCAATCTCTGTAAATTTGTTCGTATGTAAGTATGTGGCTTATAGACTCATTTGTTTGTGAACTGATGAAGCTGAAATTTGCTCCCTATAAATGAGGTCAGGCGCAGAAGATAGGCTACTTTTTGCAGCGATTCATTGGGTCCTCTGTCGATTTATTGATTTGTATACTAACATCTAGGGAAATGAAAGCTATATCATCCATTTCTCCAAGTTAAGGTAGTAGGGGCGGTAGAGATCATTTACATTTTGCGGTGAGGAGGATGCGGTGTCACGAAGCGAGGCGATCAAGAAGGACAAGTTCACCACGGATAGCACACGTGTGCTGGAAGAACTGACTTGGAGCTGAAGCAGGAAAGGAAGAGAAAATATGATCTGAAGAAAGTGGAGGAATGGTAAGCAAACATCTTGAAGCAGACGGGCCATTTTGGACCTTGGCCCGGTCGGGACCGGGGACCGCAGCTAGTATTTGATATAGTCTGGAATCATTGTGGTGGGTTATATCGCTCGCGCAAATCGCCACCTAGAATTTGAAAAACTTAGACATTGTGCAAGGATGTGCTATTCCATCGCTTTCATGGTCCTCAACACACATATGTTTGTACGGAGTGTTTCTGCAGAAAAGCCATAATTTGAGAAAAGCTGTAGTTGGAAATCTGAATTTTATAGCTTCGTGATGGAAGAAAATCACGGTGATTCAAATATCTGTCATTTGAGCGAGTGTGTCGTAAATTTAGGAAAATTGCTGCATTTGTTGTATTCAATTTTTTTTTTCACCTATGCTATGAATCGAGACCAGGGTCGAGCAAGATGTGTGGCACACAACCGCCGTACGCCCCCCCCCCTCCCTCTCCCCCCCCCCCCATTTTCGTTTGCCTACCATAGGCATGACATAAATGCTTTAGCAAGCATAATCAGTAACATAGTTGTGATCATCATGTCAAATAACCCCTGTGGCCCAGGTTTTAGCGAGATCTGGGGTTTCCCAATAATTGGGCCACCCAAGGGTGATTATTTTCAAACATAATCCACTTACTACAAAGTAAATTAGCTACCTCTTCTTGCACTCAATACAGCACTACTCCACCCATACATACCATGAATCCTAGTTCAGATAATAATCAAACTATGGATTAGGAGCCAGAGAAGATCTCGTTTGTCCTATTTTCCACTTAAAGTGGTTGTGCTTCCAGCAACTATTCCTCAAATGAAAGAAAACGAATTTAGCTCTAATCACTTCAACAAAAACTAAGAAATTTTGGCTACTAATCCGTATATGATTTGTTTCTTAAGATTCTCTTTGGAGGTATAGGCTGCTGCATGACGAAGGCGCACTGCGCATGAGGCGCAGGATCTAGTTGAAGATACAAGCGCACCGCCTTTGCGCCCGCTCAACTAATACTACTTCTGCGTCTTCGTCCTGCAGTAGCCTTTATGTTAATAGGGTGTGCCACCTCTAAAATAGCTGTGGCTGCAACACCTCTAGGGGGTTGTGCCACACCCCACTAACCTACCTATATACCACTCAGATATATCTGCGTTTTTTATATCGTTGATACTGCCCAACCTTTTTCTTTACATATTAGGTTGTCCCGAAAGTTTTGTCGGTTTTTTTCATCGATCACTAAAACCCATAGAACACTAATCCATGGACGATCTAGGTATCATTTGATCCAGATTTCAATCCTCTTTCTTACAGCTATATTTGCTCTCTGATCTACCCTGTCTTTGCCAGTTTACCGAAATGGCTTTATGGCCAGTTCAGCAGTGACGCCAAATCTTTTCTGAGTTTGAAAAATTTTTATCCCGATGTTTTCAAAGAGCGGTAGTAACGGCTATGTAGAGCAAATCCTTGGCTACATTATGCTTACTTTAGATCACATGGGCCACGTTTATCAAGTCAGTTATAATTATTTATTCAAGAAAAACCGCGGCTTTTTGATCACGTTTACCACGTAAAGTTACCGAAAATTCCAAAAAGCTGATTATCAAACTTGATTATGTTGGTAATTATTGTTTATCAGCAATCAAGTTTTAATTCGCAGAAATTTCGAAAGCTTTCTTGTTTTTGCTGCAATTGCGTGTTTCATGACTTTGCCAAAAATCGAAACCTCCGAAGAAATAATTTTTTGAAGCTAAAAACAGCAGGTTAGTAGAATCTAAAAATGTCAACTTGTAGTCCGAGAATCGTTCTATTTGAGCCATACTTAACCACCTCCGGAACTTTGGAATGAAATTTTTGAAAATTAGACTAACTTTGAGCAGATAAAAATGACGGGTGAATAATTGTAACAAGTATCAAAAAAAAAAAGCCTGCATGATTGTGACTTGGGAATTTAACATTAGGAAAGAGAAGGAAAAGCTGCATCGAATGCATGTTAGAACTCATTCAGGTCTTTATTGTGCGTAGTTTTATAGCGGTTTGAAAAAACCGACAAAACTTTCGGGACAACCTAATAGTAGAAATTTCATTTTAAATAGCGTGGTATGGATGAAGCATCGACTTCATCCCTACAACTACGTCTCGGAATATCAATCTACATGGTGAAGGGTACTCATGACGTGAAGAGGGATAAGGTAAAAAGCACTGTAGTAGATGATTTTAGGTCAGCGATTTGATGTTTATGTAAATGCTCCAAAAAAGGAGGCTTAGCCAGGGCCCGGCACAGATCGTCTAGAAGCAAGCTAGACTTCGTTTTTGGAGCAAAAAGCAAAGGGGATATCGTTTTTGCGGGGTATATAGTGATATTGACATTGACACACAAGGAAAATTCATTGAAAACGTGAACGAACGATAAACGAACGAAAACGAAAACAAATGTGAACGATAAACGACCATCCAGACAAACAAAAGCTTTTCGGACAGTTTGTCACACGATTGACATGCTCTATCGTGTATGGCGAAAGTGCGCGCGATTTGAAAGCAAGGCCAAAATAAACAAATCGCTTGTTTACAGCGCACGCAGAATCATATGACACCAAAATTGCACCGTATATATAGAAAATTATTTGCGGAAGAACTATGCAAAAAGATTTAAAAACTTATGTGAAGTAATACATTTTCCAAAATTAGATCGTCTCCAGACGGCCACCAGACGATCTGAGATCGTCTGGAGCATATATTTTCGTCAATTCACATAAGTTTTGGATTTTTTCAGCATGGACGGATGCCCCGGTCAAAAATCTATCCCTGAGCATAAAAACATTTTCATATTACCCCTGTCCGTCGTTTTTTATCATCTTTTTTTTCGAAAATCGTCATGTTAGATATCGCGCTCCACCGCCATATCCGCGTTGCTCTGAGCGGAATTTCGATCGCATGGTCGCTTTGCTGCAAAAACTGTTTCCTTCGTCCTTTTCCTTCTTACCTGTATCTTTAATGCGAAATTAGCAGATATTCTAAGTATCATTTCAGGAACAGGTTATGCCTATAGTTGATTTGATGGCTGCCAACATTCGCACTTCGCTAGACTGCATAATCTCTGTGGCCTCTGTCGATGACGAGGAAAGTTCGAATTTGAACATTATTGAGGTATTTCAATTTTGCCTGCGTGACAGTTTCAAATGCATAAACTCACTTAATTTTTCATGCTAAAATAAAAACAAACTTGGTGTGTAGCTTGCAGTTTTTTTTAATGATCAGGGATTTCGTTTAAGTTTAAGTAGCCGTCAATCCTAGGATTTGCATAGTGTGACGCTACGACGCTGTGACGTGTCTTTGCTACAGAGAAAAAGTTCTTATTTTGACTATATTCTATATGTGCGTATGCTTGCAGCTATCGGACTTGCTAACGATGTTGCTCCGTATCCGTGGTTCCACCAATTTCGCAACCGAACAGGACTGCACTCCCCTAATGGAAGCTTGTGCAGCGAGGAGCGTACGTAGCGTGAAATGTCTTTTGGATCTGGGAGCTGATGTCAGTGCTTATTCCATCACAATACTCACTTATTTATGCTACTGCAGCTGGACAAGAAAAGGTAAGCTCATGATCTTGGATGTGAGATGTTCAGAAATGGCAGAGGCCGAATTCATAACTGAACTCTTACTTTCGTCATCATTGCCTTTTATTACTTTATGGAAGTTCTGGTTATCGGTCGTATCTACAAAATTAAGTTTTTTTAGGAGCAAGTCCTTTTAAGTTTTTTTAAGAGCAAGTCCTTTTCTGCATCATGTAGCTTTCGCTAATGTTTGTTCCTCAAGCAAGAAAAAGAATGTTATGTTTATCACTAACGGGGATCATCTTGATGGGTGTGGCAGATCATTGGCATAGAGTGCAGACGTTGTTTGTCAGTCGTTAGCCCAAATCGTATGAGTTGCTTTCAGGTTGTTTGTATGTTGCTGGAGCATAAATGCAATCTGGACTTGAGAAACGAAAACGGTCATTGTGCTTTGATGGAAGCAACAAGTGCAGGTGCATTTTGCCAAATGTTAAAATTTACTTTTCTTTCTTTTTGATTTTTGATGCTTCTTCTATGTCATAAGCCCTGATAACATCTGTTCAGGTCATCTGAACATTGTGAAACTTTTGATCCAGTCTAAAGCTAAGGCTGTTCTTGTAAATATGAAGAGGAATTCAAGGCTAGCTCAGTTCTTTTAGTCAGAAGTTACATCTGTTTTCATTTTTTTTTTACTTTTTTTAAGCTTCATCTTTTTGCTCTCAATTTTACTTTGCGAAAACATAAGCTCTTTTACTACTGATGATGACATCTATCTTCAGGTCACGCGAAATCTGTTGAATATACTGAAAACCAATGTCGCATGTTGTAAAGCTGCGGGAAATCCATTCATAACACAACTCAGTAGTCTGTACATCTATTTGCCTTCGTTGTACGGTATACTATCAGAAAAAGTCTCGGTAGCAGTTGGGAAAAATGGACAGGAAGTGTTTAAAGTTTGTTTAAATTTCTGCTATTTAGTCTGTACTAGATATTTGTATCTCAGATGCCATTACTGAAAACGATGCATGCTGTGAAACGTGAGATTACTACTGATTTTACTACTGATGCAGACTACTGATTTTTCTCTCTTCATCTCTGATCTCTCCAATCTTATGATCTCTGATGTTTTTTCTCTGGAAGCAATCTCGCTTGAAGTTCTTTCCAAACTAAATCATAAAGTTGCATTAATAAGGTGGTTCCCGTGAGATATAGTTCATTTATAGAATCGTGACGACGGATTTTACTGCGGACTTCGCGCCCACAGAAGCATGAAACGCTCAGACAAGAGGGCATCACCTTAATGTTCAGCTCAGTCACTTACACTTATCTAAACCTTATCATACTTGAGCGAAAAACAACTCGAAAAGAGATGAAAACCGAGAAAATGCCATTTCCATAAGTGACGTGCGTGTCGCCGCGGTCGCGTCATACGATTTTTCAAATACTCTATACCTTTGTTTGTTTCTCGGTGGAGGATGGGGAGGGGGGGGGGGCAAGGGTCAAAGAGGACTTCGTAAAATTTCCGAAAGTCAGGGGGGACTTCGTTTTCAAAAGCCCTAGAAACGGACTCGTGCCGGGCCCTGGGCTTAGCGTTTTGAAAAAGAAACTAAGCAGTCACTCGAAAATTGAGGTGTTTGATATCGAAGGCTCTCTAACAATTAATAATGTACTTGTCCTATATCTTCCACAAGCCTTACATTTTAGTGGGACCATACAGTCCGCAACTATTATTCGTTAGCTGCTTTGCAGAGATGTTGAAGAGATTCACACGTTAGGTCAAAGGCAAACTGCGGTCCATGGCTCACTCCATAAGCCTGTAAAAACGATGTTAGCAACTATGTTCAAATGAGAAATCTCCGGTGGGCTGAGATCAAATAAGTAATTCATTCAAGAAGCTCCATGCCAAGTGTTTCTACCAAAAGGTATTTAGGTTTGAGATTGAAAGTTCCAATACCTTCGATTTTTATCTTGCTGGTGATAACTGTTTTTCTCTGTTTGGCTTGACGCATGTTGACGATTTTAAGGTATCAGGGATATTAAAAGAGCATGTTTATATGGTCACCGATCGTCAGGTGTGTATGAAGTCCTATATTAAACCTACTATTGTAGCGTTGTTTTCAAATTAGTCAAGTTCTTTTTTATCCAGTCTCAGTTTCAGAAAAGAAGACTTCCAGTATTGGGAAGATAAGAAGTCTGCTTATTATCTCAGCTTTGATATGAAATTTCGGCCATGATTGGACCGTTAGGAATTACCCCTAGGTGTATGTCCTCTTCAAAATAGCTTCGATTTTTTCGTCTATATTCTCATTTTTATAATTTTTTCATTTAAATGTTGATTTTTTCCTCCGGTGCTAAGCACAATATAATAACTGGATCACGTTCATGCTGAGTCCTGTGACCAGGGCTCGGCACGAGCTGGCACCAAGAAATTATGAAAACGAAGTCCCCCCCCCCCCCCCGACTTTTCCAAAATTTTACGAAGTCCCCTTTGATCTGTTTTGAAGACCCGCCATTATTTTTGGATTCTGTAAGAGTATGTAACAAGGTTCTAACGCATGCTGATTTCATTGAACAAATTCCATAAGTTTTCCGAGCTTTTCAAATAGTTAGCACGATCTCAATTCTTGCCTTATTTAGTTCCTCCTGATTGTTCCTCGATAAACCCATTCAGATCAAAAACTCAAATCAAACTACATGTTCTTCTAACAATGCAGTCATATCTAGAAAATCAAACGTACAGTCTTAAAAAACTCAAAAACTTTAGGACAGGATGATGCCCTCCGTATGTCGTACTCTTAGGTTTTGGAGTGAAGAAGAGGAAGAAGAAGTAGCTTTCGAAGGACTTATGCCTAACCTCTTGCTCAACACTGGACAGGAAGTTGATTACATTGAATTCCTCACAAATTTATTCACATCTTCGTGATAAGCAAAATAGCCAAAGAGGTATATGTTAGACATACATGAGATTCTCAAATGGATTATTCACTATGTACTCTTTGTTAGGAAGTACACCCTATTTTCCAGATAAACAAGTAAACAGTTGGAGGATAATGACTTAATGATGGAACCAATGGCCAAGGAAGACTAGATACAGTCTTCAGAGATATGTCTGCCCAGGAAAACTAAGAATGTTAGCAATAATAATGGGAAGAACTGGAATTTTTTAGAAGATTTTCACAATTTCAAAAGGCAGCGATATGATAAAATAATACGAGAAGAACAAAAACTTAATCAAGCTTTCTCAGAGTTGAAGGGAAAGAACAAATGGAGTGACCAGATAAAAGTGTAACGTATCTGCAAAACACTACACTTTCGCGGAAAGATGTTTTCAGCAAGAAAGTCTTGACAAGCAACTGAATGGCAAGATATTTTCGTTGACGATGATTAGCCACGGTTTGCAAAAAAGGGGAAGTGTACGAGAACCCTAAGCCCGCGCATGATCCTCAGCGAAGAGACAATGCAAAGTTGCGAAAAAAGAATAGATGAAACGAACGACTGTGCATTAAAAAATGCATAGTACGAACTATCGCCTAGCTCTAAGAAAGATGCCACACCTACTATTGTTCAAGGATACTATCCTCAAATTTCAAAAATTTCAGATCGGTAGTAATAAAAGAGGGTAGATTACCCTATAATTGCTAATTACAGCAAAGAGATTGGAGAGACAAAAGAAATTTGCGCCTATGTTCCACCAATGAAATTTACTTCTGCTAGCATTTTTTTTTGAAGAATAGCAGAAAGAAGACCCTTTTTGAGCATAGTTGAAAGAGCTGATTTTATGAGAGACTCAACAAAATAGACTAGGATGGTGATAATGACCTGAAATACGTTACCATATCATGTCGCAGAACAACAAAGAAATTTGCAGAGATAAGAAAAACAGCAGTCTATATTAATGGCTCCGAAACAAAAACACGACGTTAAAATAACTCGGCGGAAAACGATAAATTCAAACACTTACCTTTCTACCATCACTTTTGGCGGTGCAGCTACGCTCAGTTTGCTGATAAGTTTGGGAGAAACTTTAGCAGGGGACTCCAACTGATCTGCTCTAGCTGCCTCAGCGAATGGTTTTCCGTACTTGATCGTCAGTTGATCGCTTATGGTCTGCAAACGAGCAGAATCTTTAGAGCATTGAAAGTTATTTAAATGCGTACCTTGAATTCTTGGATGTCATTGGCAAGTCGTGGGGCTGCCCATATAATGCTGATGACGGCTTCAGCGATACCATCATCAAGTGTTCTAAAAGTAAAAAGAAATATCTTAATCAATTAAAAGTGGGAAAGAAACTCACTTCATTTGCTCAATCAATCCAAATCTGGCGAGCAGAAAATCACAATACATTTCGAGTATTTCAAATGCTTCAACCAAGTAATTATCGCGGATGAATATGTTCCACTCGTATTCGCGCTCGATCGGCCTTATTTGCTGTAAAAACGGTGACTAGGTTCCGTAGCACAAACTAGTTCGTTAGTCTAATTTCGTTGTAGTGATTAGTCCCTATAAGTATCGAAAAACGCGGAATAGGTTTGGAAATCAGAGTAATTTCGACAGTCACATTATTCATTCTTACGAAAACAAACATAACATATAGCAAAAAACCTTTTATATTTATGTTCAACTGGAAAAAGAACCAATCTTATCAGCATTTAGCTCAAGGACCCGTCATACTTCGCCAAAAAAGCTCGAAAAAGCCCAAAAGCGCGCGAAGAAGTCCAAAGCCCAAAAGCGCCAAAAAGAGCCGGAAGGCTCCCTTTTGCACGCAAGTTTTGCCGCTAAGACATGTATGCTGATTTTGCAACCGAGTTATTTTGCTTCATTTTCTATCGTCTGCACATCAAAATAATGCAAGAATGCATCAAAAGGTTCCAGGGGCGTTCCGGCTCTTCATGGTGCTTTTGGGCTTTTTGGGCGCTTTTGGGCTTTCTGGGCGCTTTTGGACTTCTTGAGCGATTTTGGTCTTCTTTCGGCGAAGTATGACGGGTCCTGCAGATTAGTTTGGCATACTACGCGATATTCTAAACAAAACGATATGAGGTAACAGACAATTTCTTCTTCCAATAATGTCACAGAGCCTCGAGCGATCATAACAAAATGTTTTTTAGAGTAGAAAACTAATTAATAAAACTTATGAGCACCGCATAACAAGAACGTGTAAGCCTTACATTCTATGTATTCAGCAATCTCCGTACGTGCCTTCATTGCCATTTCCGTCTTCTTCTTGCCCATCACTTTCAAACGGTTGATTGCAAGTTGAAGATTTCTCTTCAACTTCGGATAAAGAGCTCCCCAGCTTGTTGACATTTTGCTGGAATGAAATCGTAATCAAAGAAAAAACATATGTAAAATGTACGAGCAACGGAAACAGTAAAACAAAAGATTTGCGCGAGCAACAAACAACAAAATAGTACTTGCTTTCACAGGTGCGATAGTGTGAGAATTTTCTTACCCCCTCTTCACCCCTGAGCCGAGACCAAGGTGACCCCCTTCACCAAAAATCGAGAAAAAAATCAACAGTGAGGTAAGCTTAAGCAAAGGAGCTATTTGTACGTGAATTGTTTATTTACAGGAATGGAGGAGTCTGTTGAAAAAAGTGCTTGGTGACGGGTGTGAGTAACATAAAAAATTCATAACTTTTGTAGATGAACATCTTTTACGGCGAGATGGTCACCACTGGAACCGTCTCGTCCTCCGCTTTCAGAAAGCATATAGCATATCTGAGAACCGTTCAAGAGAGTGCGGTGAAGGGTGTGCCTAATTTTTGGGAATTTTCGAGTTTTTAACCTAAAAAAATTGATAAATTTTGTAGATGAACATCTTGTACGCCATGATGGTCACCATTGAAACCGACTTGTCTTCCGCTTTCAGAAAATATATACTTTGCCTAGAGTCCTTTAAAAAAAGTGCCTGGGTGAAGGGTGTCCTAGTGATTTTTGGAGATTTTCAAGTTTTTAACATAAAAAAATTCGTAACTTTTGCACATAAACATCTTTCACGCCGAGATGGTCACCATTGGAACCGCCTCGTCCTCCGCTTTCAGAAAAGATATACTTTGTTTGGGGTCCGTCAAAAAAAGTGCCGGGTGAAGGGTGGGCGAGACTTTTATAATGGGAGTGCTCAAGTACAGGCTTTTTTACCATTGTAAAAAGACGTCTACTTGAGCACTTCCATTATAAAAGTCTCACCCACCCTTCACCCGGCACTTTTTCTAATGGACACCAGGCAAAGTATATATTTTCTGAAAGCGGAGGACAAGCCGCTTCTAATGGTGACCATCATGGCGTACAAGATGTTCATCTTCAGAAGTTACGGATTTTTCTATCTTAAAAACTCGTAAATATCCAGAAATCACTACCCACACTCTTCACCAGGCACTTTTTCAACAGACTCCAGGCAAACTATATATTCTCTAAAAGCGGAAAAGAAGGTAATCTTAAAAACATTTCCCTTGCTGACGTTGCTGTTTATCTACAGAAATTATGAATTTCTTCTTCAAAAAATGTTTAAAAATTGTCTAACCCTTTCCGAAACAAATGTTATCGCGTGCACATCTTCTATGGTAATTCCAAAAACAGGCAGGGTGATGTAAAAAAGGAAAAGGAAGTGTTAAAAAAATGCGAGGTGCTTTTCAGATATATAATTGTGTGCTAATCCAGCAGCACATCGGTTCACAATTCAGAAAAAAGATAACCAGTGATGGTAAGGAATAAATTATGATTGACTAGGAAAAATGATGAGAATACCATGGCTCCCCCCCCCCCATAGCATTTTATAATTTCTCTACCAAGTGAAACACCCTTCACCCTGGAGAGGCTGCGACCACTGTCACCCCCTTCACCCTGGAGGAGTCATTCTCAACTTATCGCACCTGTGCTTACTTTGTAACTGCACAGAAACAGAGCCACGCTTATTACTAGAAACCACAAATTATTGTTGAAATAAAGCTCATCCTCATCCGAGACTCAAATACTGAGTTTAGGAAGTGACGAAATGAAATCGGCAAACTTCGCGCTGCATTTGCTTGGGGCGCGCTTTGTGATTGGAGCAGATTTCTTGACTACGAAAGATCGAGAAGTTTCAGATGGCTATAAAACGCCGAAAAGATAACATTATGAAGTGGTTTTTTCACCGTATGTAAAATTTTACATTATACATAAAATTTACGCAGAAAAGTATGAAAACTTATGTGGGCAAAGGGCCGGTGCCACCTCAGCGGGCACCCAGCTGGCACGGTGCCAGCTAATTTAGAAAAAAGTTGGGCACAGCTTCCATTCACATAAGTTTTCATAGATTTTCAAGCCGTTTTTCAGTTCGAGTCCCCAACGCGCATGTAGACACCAAATTTGGTGTCATATGATTGCGTTTTGTTTGTAAATAAGGCCTTTGTTTGTTTTCGGCACAATTTGAATTCCCGCCGCTGGCATGCAGCCGGCATGTCAGTGGCATGCCAGCGGCTAAATTTAGATTTAGCATGCCGCCTATATTTTTGTCCTTACCTCGTTTGTGTTGCATATTTCTGCAGTCTTTTTGATCCTATGGAGCGGGTTTTTTCGGTCGGCCTCAAAAACGATATCCAGCTTGACCCGGTGCCAGCTGTGCCGAGCCCTGCCTGTGACAAAGAATCCTCTATGTCACACTCATCCCCCACTAGATGACACTGATGTATCACTAATCTCCTCTATGTCGAGTATTTCTTTCTCGTGAGCCTCCCTTTCCTTCGTCCGTGCATCGCAGAACCAGGCACTTGCCTCAGCTCCGGTCACCCTCGTCAGCCAAGTAGAAGTGCTTTTTCTCACCTAGGTGGTCATGTACTTGCCCGAATCAACTACATGCAGAATCTGAAGAATGGATTTAATATAAAACCCACCACTTCCATCTTATGTAAGTTCTTCCCCTCTTATTTGAGAACGCCTTGCTGGCTCCCAGCTCGATGGGCTTGAACATACAATGAAATGGTGGTAATCGTATAAGATTAACACCATGATCATTCTATATTTGTTCTGTGACGTAACTGTGTAAAGCAGCCACGCCACCCCTAAAGTCCAAGTAACAGCTGAGCTGGAGGGAGCATTTGATCTTTTTCCAATCAACGTAGATAAAAGCGTAAATCACCTCATTCAGCAGACCTTCTTTCGTAGCGTTATCCGTACAGCAATTCCCTTCCTGCTTGAAAATTCCTTTATTTCCCCTTTGCTTGAAGAATTTGTAGACAGTTTTTCTAACTGCCTAGAATGGTATGGAGCATTGTCCATAACCAGTGTGACTTTCCTTCCGCTCGCCCGTCGCAGTATGAGTGGTAGAGACTCTGTCAACCACTTGTCAAAAAGAGATGTGGTTCATTTCGGCGTAATAGTCGCTATCCACACTTCTCGTTCCACTAACAACAACATCAAGACTCTCAGCTACGATTCCATTTTCCGCCATCGCCGCTATTACAATGCCTCGCTTGCCCTTGTTTCAACTAGCTGTTCTCCCATAAGTATTTCTGTAACAAGGACCGGGACGCGAAACGGGGAATCCTTTTGTCGTTCCTTCCTTTACTTTTCGCCATCTCACTAAACACCCACGTCTCATTCCTTTTTCTTGCTGCAACCATCGCTAACAGACAAGCGTTCCACCAGGTTTGTCCTTTCAAATATGAACTTCAACCCTGTATTTTTCGTAAAAGAAAATTCTAGTCCTTTTAAGAGCCTTGCAAGGTTGTTCGTGACAGAGCAAATTCTTCATGGGCCGACGACAGTTCTTCATGGAGCTCCGATATGGTTACATCTTCCTCATTTCTTAGTCTCCCATGGATCGCTTGTCTTACCACTTCTTCCCATTCTTCTCCATATTTTCTTAGAACCGTCTCTTTCATAATCTTCCTATTGTGACGCTTCTTGTCCATGGGTGCAAAGCGGCCGCGTCGGATGTTCATCACGTGTTCCGCGAGATACCACATGCGAAAGCCGTCATATGATTTAGTGTTTTAAAGATGGCTTCCGCACATGGGCCTCTGACTCGCTTTCTCATGGATTTAAAGAAACTGTGAATGCGTCCAACCGGGAGACGGCCCTTCTGAACCCACCGTTCACTACAGTAATCGAGAACTAGGTCGCGAGCGCCTGCGATGCGCTCGACGCGGACGAGTGTTCCGCCGCGTCTCGCCATTTTAGAAAATCCTCACCGGAACCGAAATACTTCTACTACATCATTAAAACCGTGCACGAAATAGCAACTTGCGGCAGCTCGGATTTTCGCCGTATTTTGTGTTTATTGGACGTCTTGCGGAGGCAACACATTATGCTGGACATTTCTCACGCTTTATTCTCTTATATCTGATATAAAAAAAGTCTTGGCTTATTATTTGCTTACAGGGGAAGTGTTTCTAGTCATAGTGGCCCTCCTAAAAGAAATTCATATACACAGTTTGGAAGATCTTTGAAAGCTAACTCCACATCTTTTCTCGCTATCTGCTGTGCGTCTCTGTCCAGATAACACACATTCCTTGTTGACACAGGATGAAAAAGTGCAAGCGGAAACACCTCCTATATCTTACCTCTATGCGGAGATCACAAAAAAGGTACTCAAGAACCTAGTCAAAAACGAAGTTTTACTAATCTGTCTTTGTTTTGCTCAAATGACACTAGAATTAAAACATAAACTGTCGCTAGGAACCTACTTCAATTGTGACTGAAGATAAAGCGTTACTTACGCTTTGAAATTGATAAAATGCTCGGCTAATGCTCAGCAGTTATGAACACTCTTTCTTACGCAAACATTAGTTTGCACGAAGTTTTGCATGGACAAAAATTGGTTGGAAATCCAAATGCAGATGCTTATTCCAAAATACGGAAGTGTGCGATACCGCAAAAATATGAGGAGAAAACAAAAACACAATCTCACCCTACATCCTAATTGTCTCTTTAAGCTTTGTAAGAACTTGTTGTACATGAATGCAGTAGGTAAAGATTTATTGAAACCAGCAAAGAAAAAGTAGCCAAAGCGCTAGCTACAAGAAAGAAAGGAAAGATAAAACAATCTGTTAGTGTTCGAACGAAGTGAGGAAAACAACTTGTTTGAGAAAAGCACGAAAAACAAACAACTGACAACTTGAAACTGTATAACGGGCTAGAACACTGAAAGTAAAAGTCTTATTTGAACATTTTGCACAGAAAACCGTTTGAGTAGAATGCTACGTGGGCTCAGTCTTAGGAAAACAACCTAAAAAGACGAAAGAAAACAAGGACAAGTTTGAAAACACGACGATGTATCACTTACCTAAGGGTTGAGCCAGACTGCGCGGCGTACACAGCGTACGCCGCGTACGTTGCGTTTTCGGCGTACGCCGCGTACGTTGCGTTTTCGGCGTACGCTGCGTACGGCTACGTTCATACTGATCCCGAAGTCCGGGAACAGTTCTAGCACAACGCTTAGTTCGAGCGCTGTGCTGGAACTGTTCCCGAACTTTGGGATCGGTATGAACGCAGCCTACGCTGCGTACGCTCGCAAATTTCATAATCGATTCTCGCAACAGCAGGGTTTACGCAATGCTTCCATTCTACTCTTCCTCTTCTCTCCTCTTCTCTTTTCATTTCCAATTCCTTTCACAATAGTCCCTCTCGATAGCTATATGTTTTTCGTTGTAACTCATGCAATTTGGGCTGCGCTTGAATTGTAAACGTAGTCGTGCAGCGCCGCGCCGTTTGACATCACTGTACTTTTCACTCGCGAAGAACTTATCTATCGTATAGTTTCATCACAGTAGATTTTGTATTTCAGATGAGCGTACCTATCAATGATTTGATAGCCGCTTTTGTACAGGAAGAACCATGTTTGTGGGACAGCGGTCATGAGCATTACAGAAGGAAGGATAAAAGCAGGTCTGAAACCATGCCACCCTAAATACGTATCGTCGACTCTAAAAATCGTGACGACGGTCTGCAGTGCGGCCAGTGCGCGCCGCACGGCACTGCCGCTTTATCGTAGGGCAATCTTGCTTCTCTGCAGTGTAGGCTCCCTGCGGTAGCCATGAAAGTTCCTGCAAGCAGAAAAGATGCAAAAAGAAAAAGAAAAACCACAAGAACTCACCTTCTCCACGTAATTTGGGCGAATTACTAGGTGGCAGTGCCGTGCGGCGCGCACTGGCCGCACTGCAGACCGTCGTCACGATTTTTAGACGACGATAGAATAGAAGGTGTTAGTATATGATAATGACAAAAATGAGAGTGAACTTAGTATATATACACTCACCGACAATCCTCCCGTCAAAAAACCTCTGTTCTTTGGGCCCTCTTTGAGTTCCCTGAAAAGAAGTAAGAAGATGCAGTGATGTATTTCGAGAGAGAAAAAAGATCAATGCGAAGTGGAACATGACGAAAAACAAAGCAAAAACAAAAGCATTCGCTGATAATCCAAGGGTTGGGCCAGACTGCGCGGCGTACGCGACGTACGCAGCGTACGCCGCGTATGCTCCTATGATGAAATATACCGAGCGTACGCTGCGTACGCCGCGTACGCCGCTTCCCTGCGAAGTCTGGCTCAACCCCAAGCGAGAAGGAACGAGTACAACTCGTCCACTTCCGCAGCGCGCCTTGTCAGGTCAAGCGCACGCCTCACCAAGGCAGCCAATCAGCGCGCGACCTCTTTGATGCGCTGCCCTATCACAGATATCGTGATTAGAGCGGGTTCAGAAGGGCCTACACCCCGTCCAACCAACTACTTCGCCTGACGTCCGAGAACTGTTCTTCGTCTTGTTGCATCCGCCCTTCTGTACAGGGCCCGGCACGAGGTGGGCAAATGACAAGCTGGAAATCGTTTTGGTGCCAAAAAGCAAAGGGGACATCGTTTTTGCGGGATTCGGGGCGGAGCCCAGGAAGAAGCCAAGTGCAAGCAAAAGAAGGTCGAATCATGCTTACCTTATACATCTAGTTCATCGGAAAATAGTTTTCATAAACCTCAACGCACAGCAGACTTCGCGCGCACTACGCCGCGTTGCCGCTAATTGCCGCGTGCGCGACGTCGCATGAGCGATGCCGTTGAACAGCATGATTACATGATCAGTTCTCAATGCAGGCGTAATGATATAGCACCAAATTACGTAAGCGAACAAAGAGAGGCTAGTAGAAACAAAGCATGAAATGTTATGAAAAACTTATGTGAATGGGAGGTGTAATAAGCATTTTTTCCAAAAATTTCGCAAAACTGGTAAATGAAGATGTGAATTCAAATGGTTCGTTTGCAGCGCACAGATGACCATACGGTATGAAACTTGGTAGATACATGAATACGGGCTTGCAGAGCTTATCTTAGAAGGTTCATTGAAAAATTATGTAAATGAAGGTTGTGGCAAGCTTTTTTCTGAGAATTTCCCACTCAAGAAAATGGAAAAATGGCTCGTTTGCAGCGCAGAGAAAACGAAATCGCGCGAGACTTGGTGTGTATACGCGCAGTAGGACTAAGAAACAGTGCATGAAAAATTATGAAAAACTTATGTGAATAAAGAGCGTGCTTAACTTTTTTTCCAAATTAGGTGGGCAATTGCCCACCTAATGCCCACCTGAGGTGGGCAAAACTTTTAATTCACATAATTTTTTCAAAATTTTTACATAAATCTGTTGTTCACCTAAAGTTTACTATATGGTGAGATTTTGGTTCCGAAACTCCTCCTCTTGCCTTTGTTAGAGCCCAAAATCGCATCAGCAGCCTAGTTATTTATGATGGAAAGCGCGCCCCAGTCAATCGATACGCGCGAGAACGGCGTCTCTCAGTCCTATGACTGCGTTCCTCTGATATTTTTTCATTCCTTCATCATTTTTCTTGCTTATTCTTCTTCCTGTTTTCTATCTTGATACAGGTGAGGAGTATTTAGAGGAATTTGAACATTTTGGGCGCTTTTGAGCGCTTTTAGGCGAAGTGTGGCCGGTGCTCTCGTTCCACAAGCACAAAGCGTCATTTTTGGGCTCAAGGGGGTATTCGTAAGGCTCCCGCCAGAGTGCCGAAGTTATGCCAGCGCTACGCCAGCATTTCGATCGATACACGTGTATTTCGATGGGGCGGGGCTAGCTGACGTCCCCAACGAAATACACGTGAATCGATCGAAATGCTGGCGTAGCGCTGGCATAACTTCGGCACTCTGGCGGGAGCCTAAAAACTATTGGGGTCAAAGGGGAATTCGTTTTGGAAAACCCCGTGTGCCCACCTCGTGCCGGGCCCTGCTTCTGTATGCTCTGCATCTCTTCTACGTGCTGCGCACAGATGGTGGCGCGTTGCTCACAAGTTTTCTTTTGCATCCACTGAAACAAAGGTTTATGTGGAAAATAAAAAACTGCTTTTGCATCACCATGCAGCCAGGAAAATTTCGTGCATCTGTGACTGGTGATTTAGCTGGAACGGAATAGGACATTCAAACAATCGTGACGACGTGACTGCATTCTTTGCGCCCATAGGAGTTTGACTCATACGGATAAAATTATCTTAAGGCGGTACTCAGAGGCTTACAATGCCTGAATACTATCATATCCATAAGAAACGATTGGAATAGAGATTGAATTCATGAAAATGCGATTAAAAAAAGTGCTGCGCACGCCAGCGGTCACGCCATCATCACGATTTTATGATTGCCCTGTAGACTTTCACATGTAAACATGCAAAGCCCAAGCATTTGGTATCAGTCCGTTGTCGCAGTGATGAGGAATCATAGTGTGTTCCTACTTAATGCAATGCTGGACTGCTATACAAGCGTGCGAAAAATTAACACTATTATGGCCATACTCACCATACCTCTTGTCGCTTGAATAAGAGTCAGAATGCAAAAAGAAGAACAGAGAGATTTTGAATAGGTCTGGCTTTATTAGTCGATATTGTATATTTAAGGTTTTCTCGTACACGCAGTAAGTGATCCGAGTTTTAGTACATTTCTGATCCGAGTTTTAGTACATTTCGAATTGTGAATGGCGGAGTATATCGGCAATCGCGTTGCAAGCAGATATCATGTGGTTCATGAACATAACCTACGGCCTTAGGCTCGTAGCCAGTCTGCGACGTCTCCGAGGAATCCAGGAAATACTGCTGTGACTCTTTGGCTTCAGTTACATCTATCGCATCCGCGTATTCGAAAAGAGGACGCCACTAGAGTTAATATAGGTTTTTAACAATAAAGGCTCACGTGACGGTTTTCTGCCGTGATTCCATGCCTGAGCGGGATTTTTTTGCCTCTAAATAAGCTCTCAAAACTCTTATTTTCGGTGAGGAGATGCAACATCATACGCTCGGATACGTTATCAACTGTCGGTTTGTTGTCTTGAGTTGGTCTTCTTGCAGCTGAGACTCAGTTGGCTCCTTAACTGTTCTTAGTATATTTATGGACATGTTTCTCCTCTAAACCCTAGACATAATCTTCAAAGTTATGCAAACGCTCTCTTCGGGGCATCAGGTAAGGTAGAGAGTGGCAGATTTGTTTGAAGTGCACGAAATTTAGAAGAAATAATGAATTTGAGAAATGGTAGTCACTGCAGTAGAGCGAAGGTGCGCCGCAATTTTTCATGTCCGGAACGCGCTGTACAGACTAAAATCCCAATTATGATGCGCTTATATTATCATTATCGATTATAATTTCACCGGAAGTTTACGGAGTCGGGCAGCAGTTGCACGGATATCAGGGGTGTAGGATTGTTGCAAAATTTTGGTAAAGTACTAACCTGATTTCATGAAAATAACCCATCACCTTGTACTGAACGATGGCCGATTTATTGTAGCCTCGGTGTTAGTCTGAAACTTGTTTGCAGGCTATGGGTTAAGCCAGACTTCGCGGGGAAGCGGCGTACGCGGCGTACGTCGGGTACGCCGCGCAGTCTGGCCCAACCCTATGTCATCAATTTTAAAGACGCGAAATTCTTACGACATCCTAACGAAAGGTGCTGCTCCGCGGAGTTTTTGCTAGTAAAAATTAAGTTGGAAATGAAATTCTTTTTATGTGCAGAATAACTTACTAGGCTATTGATTGAGCTGTTATATTGCTAAATTAGGGGATACTTATCTACAGGAATTGGATTTACAGAAATTTCATTGACATGAGTTAATTGATTTACAGAAATACGTTGGTTTATATATATATATATTGTTAATTTACAGGATATTGCTCTTAAACACGTTGTTGGTGATACTAAATCGCAGCATATCTATATAATTAATTATAAGAAATTTTTTGTTATGCAAGTGTGTATTCTTTGCACATTTTCCAGGTAAGAGTTTTAATTCTGGTGCAAGTTTGACATAAAAGTACAGAGCTATAGATGGAGCAGCGCTTCACGCCCCACACCATACACTAACTACATACACTACACACTACACACACTACACACTATATACACCAATACACACTCATTACATTCACTACACACTCACTACACTCACTACACACACTACACACATGCGCACACACACTACTCACACTACACACACACTACACTCACTACACACACTACACACACACTGCACACTATATACCCCACCACACACTTATTACACTTACTAAACCTCATTACACTCACTATACACACTACACCCACTACACCCACTACACACACTATACACACATTACCATTTCTATGTACACACACTCTACACAGATTCCGAGCCACTACTTATGTTGAACGAAAAAGAAAGACGGCTCTCACGCTTTTCCAATGAATAATGAAACCTCACCATTGCCGAAGATCGCGATGGCAATTGCCTACACCAGTACTAAACTACAGAGCGCTGCAAAGATCCGGAACGGTTCGCTTGGCGGACTTCGTAAGCTGGTATTGCTTGGCAAAGAAACATCTAGAATCACATAACTGCAGCCTTTCCACCTTACCCCCTCCCCTTCAGAGATGCACCTTTTGAAGAGGCTCGGTCCATCCAATCCCTTATACACTTGGTTACCGTAACAACTACTGCCCTCGGGCACATCCTATCACCTCTTCTTTACCAAGCTCGACCGAGCGGATTATCGGTTGTACTTGCAGGAGAATCTCACACTGAAGCGAAGCCTTCATAAATTGCTGTCTTCATACTAGAGGGTCCAAAGTTTTCCTTATCGCGTGTTGGACGGACTTCCGTGCGTGCGCAATCCTGGCAGATTCGCTATGTTTCGAAGCTAGATTTCAAGGCCCTTACGCTATCTAGATAACTTATGACGAGGCACGGCTTCCTTGGGTTCTTTACTTTCAAGTTAGCTTTTGACCTGAGCATAGTTCAATGGTACAGGTCGCAGTATACTAAAACTGGGTTTCGCAGTCTTCTGGCGCACGTATCAGATAGATAAACACACGCGATGGTACTAAATCTACAGAACAACGTTCTCGACACTCATCGAAAATTACGCAACAGAATCGATAAAGAGTTATGATTAGACCAACACTCATCAGTAGACTACGTCGATCTTCTTTAAACAGCCAAGCACTTTATCGAGCCTAATTTATTGTTGTAGGACAGAACTAGGCGAAATGTCAGTGCAGCAGTAATGAGATAATTTTGAAAAAGCGCATAATTCAATACTAAGTTGGAATCTGACGTATCTTTGGATTATGTATGCCAAAGAATGAAGCAGAGAATGCGTTAACTATTCATTTTGCTAATTTTTTGTACAATCGGTTTCACTTTAAGCTGACGTTACGTTTAAGTGCAAGCGCTTCGCAACACAAATCGTAGACTAGCAGGGAAAATCAGAAACAAAAAACTTAATAACAATTCAAAGAACTGAAACATCTCCGCAAAATCAAAATTGGCGAAAACAGAAATTAGATTTCATTTTTTCCTCGCACGGGTCCCACATATGCAGGGCCTACTTTTCTTGTCAGTTGTCCCCATGTTTTCTTATCTGAGATTTGTTTTCTTATCTGTTTTCCTATCTGTTTTCAGATCACATGGCCGTGCCATCGAAGTATGTTTTCCTGCATTTTCATTTGCAACAAAATCAGATTTCATTAGACGTAAGATTAATGTCTGGTCTGTTTAAGACACTTCAATTCATGCCTATCAAAATCAGAATTTCTGCTTCTGCCGATTTCGATTTATTTTTCGCCTCTTTCGGCCTAGAGAGTTTCCGGTTGGCATTTATACAGAAGTCCTAGTCAAAATACTTAGAATAAGCAAAAAAACAAAGTCCAATTAGATTTACCATTTTGTCGAAAAAGGACCTCATAAATCGAACTACTTGCCTACAGGAAGAAATCCAATTATAAATTTAATTTGACGTCTTGCTGAGATCATAAAAGAAGAAGAGTTGATGGAGAAGTTGACACAGGCTTTCCTGCTTATGTGGCAACTGCACAACGAAGGATTACGGCGAATTTGCGCAAACCATTCCAGACCTTACTCTTGGAAATGCGCAGTTGCACTACAATAGCATGAAAACCTAAGGTAAAGCAAGGTCCTGAAAACCCTGCAACAACGTGATGAACCCTCTATCAGTGGATTGCGAAATACCAATGCTTGTTTCAACGATGTTGCGCGGGCATACCGTCCACTTTCGCATCGGGATCCATGTTAATTTAGTTTGAGCCTTTCCACAAATAACGAGAACTCACACTATCACGTTCAACTAATAACAGGATACGCTCTCATGGACTCGAACCGCAATGACAATAGATGCGTGTAGAAACAATTTATTGTCAAAACAATTCAGTATGTGACGTTCAATACTTTCATTTAAGCTTCAAATCATAATGATTGGAGAGCATACTTAAAAACTTGCATGCACCTTTGATAATGGATATTGGGCACTTCTAAGATTTTTCGCAGAAACTGCAAAAAAACTTACTGTTTCCGTTAGCCTCATCAGCTCTTTTCCATCTTGGCTTGATCGATCCGAATCAAGTTGTGCTTCCAGGTTCAAAAAATGGACTTACATCTACTCTGATTCTGGCATCTCTTCTACCGTAAACGTACAGGATCACTGATCCAAATGTGTCGACCTCCATGCCCTCGGATACAAACCAAAATTTGCTGGCTGTGCGATGGTCCTCTCTGTAAGCGAGAAGCATAAACCATGCCCTTAACTACAACACTCGAACTGCAGTTAGCAAGAGTACGAAAATTGGCAGCGAAAAGCGCGACTCACTGTGCTTCTTCATCATCGCGTTCGATAAATACTCTATAATTCGCCCTCAGCAATTTAGAATGCACTCTGCTTCTTCCCAATATGCAAAGCTATTCACTATGTAATTTTCCAAAGGAAATCTAAAATCTAGGGATTATCACAATTCTTTCAAACCTCTTTTCATACCATATTCCGTCTCTGTTTTCAAGCGTCTTCCTCGAACATCATCACACAATCCGATGATCTTTGATGGACTATTGAACGCATCCTTATGCGGTAAATATCTAAATCATGCAACTGTTATACTCCAATTGGTCTTACTATACCTTTCGATCACCGTCGTTAGACTGTTCGTGGTATTCTGATCCAACTTGATTTGCAACCTATGATAATGGGTCTCAAAGGGAGCTGACGTCCAATGATAAACTGTACCGAACTGCTCTAAATCCTTTTCCATCCCATGATCAAAGAACATCTAGACTTAGCATATGTATTTATCGAAAAACCTCCAAACACTAAGTCGTTGGCTGACGTATCATCCCATGGTGAGGATGTTACGAGCAAGGGCAGCCCATATAATTTTGTTAGTCGTACTATGTTACGAGCTTTTGTCATGGGTGCAGTTGTCAAGCGCCTTGTCTCCGACATCATCCTCAAGCATGTTCAGTATCCTAGCAAAGACACTGCAGATTTGGGTGATGCGATTAGTCCCGCGGTTGCGATAGGAGGGAAAACAACAAAAGCTAACTGCAAGATAAACTCTCAAGCGTAGAAGGGAAAGAAATGCTTGGCATCAACTTCTTCTAATTTCAGCCTTGCAAGTGGGCATATCTTTAAGAGAAAGCACTATGCTTCTCGACTATGTACGGCAAGACATTTCTTGAGAGCTTGTTTTACCTCAATGCCTGTTTTCGCTGTTGCAGTTCAGGATATTTGCTCTTTGAAGTGAACATAATTACGAGAGATGATAAGTTTGAGTTTTATAATTTTTGTTCTACCACGGAGTCTGTCCTTCGAGATTCTTTCTGCGCAAACATGTAGCGCATCAGCGCAGAACTGATTCGAAATAATGAGGCGCATCATCGGGTTTTTTCTGAAAAGATAAGCTGAAAAATCAGTGTGCGGAACTATACCAAATTTGTAACGCCATTTCGACCCTGTTGTCCATCTTCAAAAAACGACTGCATCGTTCTCAGTGACGATTAACTTCTTTGCTAGCCATCCAAATGCGGCGTTTGCCCATTTCGACCATTCTGTAACTTGGTTTTACTCTTAGATACAACGGCGATGGTTCTCTCTTGATACCTTGTTTTTCTTCCTCATACAGCCGTGGAAAGCAAAACTCGCCGACTAATTCGCTTGAGTGCGAAACCGTCTATGGATAGTTATAATAGCACGGTAGCAATTTTTTAATTTTAATTCAATGTTTTTATAGAAGCCGCAAAAATACCTCAAATCAGAAAGGTCGTTCGCAGATCCACCCTGAAGCTCGCATCACATGCGGATAAGCTTTGAGCGAAAAGCTGCACTCATTGTGATTTCGACGGAGAACTTCGTGAAACTCAATAATCGAGAACGGTTACCATCCAGCCGCCAATCTCGTAGAATCAAAGGGTATTTATTCTGATCACCGCTACACGTGCTCAACACCAATGCTCGTAAGCGCCAGAGATACTTGTCGAGAATCCAATATACAGAAAACGAAACCAGTGTCAAATCTTTCAATTGAACAAATGAAATGGCCAAACACACCTACCCTCGATATCAATATGTCTTCCCTCAACATGACGTGAATTGAATGGATTTGTGAGGCGTTGCTTTAAGCTTGCGCCACGTTGCAGGCGCATCGTTTGAGGTGACGTGGTGTTCAAAACAACGTGGTGCTGTTTTCCACGTTGTTCTTGTTACCACACTATGCTAAAGGTGCGCACGCAACATGGTGCAAGCCTCAAGCGAGGTGGTGCCCCACCAATCCACGTAATCCACGTCATGTTGAGGGAAGACATAGGTTTATACCGAGGTTACCTTGGCTTATGTGGTTGAACATGCTACAATATCAAGGGGATAGGTTAGACATAACAAAAATACTTTACGCATCCAGCGAGATAACACTTTTATTTAAGGTGCTTGGGAGGGCTGTGGAACGCTGAGCATAGTCGCTGAAACGCTGACCATGGCCGGCGCAGTCGACGAATGCGTAGCAAGATTCACTTTTCGGAAAAGTTACACCAGGGTCAAGCGTGGGGTGTGGCAGCCGCACCTGTTGAGTCGTACTGAGGGGTCAAGGAGGGGGGAGGGTCGTTATCGAGATGATCTAATGTTAGCGATAACACATGATATTCCTTAACAATGTCAGATAGACCCTTTAGTAACATCATGTACAGTCGTCAATGCGATTGGGCTTTTCTACAGTATCCCGAAATTAGCTCGTCTGCCGCAGACACATGTCGCGCGGGCCACGCGACGCGTGGCTGGCTATCGAATTGGCGCGTAGCCAAGCAAGTAGCTGATTGTCTTCCCACATCTCTTTCGCTCACTTATCTGAATACCAATCAACTGATTTTCTAGGCACTCTGGTCGGGCTATCTACTTAATCCTCCAAATGGGACCTTGTCTCGCTTCCATCTATATGCAAAGCTTTGTTGAACTTTTAGTGAACGTCTAATGCATTGCTTTGTTTTCACACTTAGATTCAGCTGTTCTATAGGCGAATGTTCGTATTATCTTGCATGCTGATCTATCTGATAAGAAACGAAGGAAATTTTCTATTGTAAATTGTGTTTACAGTTTGTTGAAATGTCCTGTAATGCATCAAAAGCTTCTAGTCATGCTTGTTACATGAGATCACGATGAATTCAACCGGGCAGTGTCTCTTGTTATCATCACTTTGTCATTTGAAAGATATACTACGGTTCAAGTGTTTAAGCAATTACCAGGTAATCTTTTTTTTGATTCTTACTAAGGAAGGGTACTTGGTCGAAGTGTAGGTTTCATATGGCATATATACTATCTTATAGAGCATAAATAGCTGATTGCAAATCTGCTTTCGGTATCTGCAAAGCACACTTCGGAAAGACGAGTTATGAGAATTTTTTGAGGCAAAAGTTTCAAGGTTTTGGCTAATATATTAGGTTGGCTAGAAAGTTCTTGCGTAATTCAAACAAAATTCAATAACTTTTCAATGACTAAACCTAAATTCACAATCTTATTCTCTAAAAATATTAGAAGGCCTGCGCTCCAAGACGGATGTTTAAGCGCAAGATTCCATGAGCTAGCCCCCGAGAACGAAGCTCTCAAATATGGGACTTCAAAATTTGCAATTTTGAGTTTGGTGCCAGAAAATCGCAGAGTGCCGCTAGCTAGCCGAAAAAAATCTGTAAAAATTACTTACACTGCAGAAGTCCATCAGTTACTTTGGAAAGCTTTGATCTTGCACGGTGAAGCAAAAACAAAAAATTCGTGAAATATTCATTTTGCGGAAAAAATCCACTCATTACCGCAGTTTTTCGGCAAAAACAATTTTTTACACTCCAAAAAACGTCGCAAGGTTCTAAATAGGCAATATGTCTTATTTCTGGTTGCAAACTGTGTTTTTGTGGAAAAATTGCATCGATAAGGGGATTTATCCTGTAAAATGATAAATTCCACAAATTTTTTGCTTTCGTACTTCCATGCGAGATCAAAGCCTGCTAAAATAACGTATGGACTTCTGCAGTGTAAGTAATTTTTACAGATTTTTTTGGCTAGCTAGCGGCACTCTGCGATTTTCTGGCACCAAACTCGAAATTGCAATTTTTGAAGTCCCATATTTGAGAGCTTCGTTCTCGGGGGCTAGCTCATGAAATCTCGCGCTTAAACATCCATCATGGAACGCAGACCTTCTAATATTTTTAGAGAACAAGATTATGAATTTAGGTTTAGTCATTGAAAAGTTATTGAATTTTGTTTGAATTACGCAAGAACTTTCTAGCCAACCTAATAGAAACAAATGTTGAGGTGCTCCCGCCGCTTGAATCGAGTAGCGAGTAACATGAGTTTATCAGACTAGTAGTATGATTGCATAAAAAGCCCTGGCAGTAGTCATGGCCCCAGTAAGCTACAGAATGCAGTCCGGAATAAGTTAGTGTAAGTGAGCGTTGAAATTTCTGCTTCGAAGAATTTCCATAATTCCCTTCCCAGAAGCGCTTTGATAGCGAAAGCAGATTTGGAATCAGCACTCCATGCTCAATGAAACAGTTTGCATTTTCTATGGAAACGCTACTTTGACCAAGTATCCTCCCTTTCTTCCAAAGCTAGAGGAATTTTTCTAGGATTATCGGGTTCTTGTTATCTGCTCGCTTGATTGCATCGGATGAGTTTCGTGTGTTAGGAGATTTTTACATGCCAGAGTATGAAAGTGAATTGCTAACCCTTGCCAACGATCTAGCTGCACTGCTCCTTCCCGCTTTGAAGGCAATAGGACAATTGTCTGCTCCAAATTTTGTTTCCTAAGTTCTTATTGTTGCTTCATACAGTAGGTATCCCTTATTACCGTGTCAATTTAATGTATGGTGCTCCCCCTCTTACAGAGGAAACAAGCAGCAAATTGGACTTCATTTGGTGATTAGTTCAGGTAATGTTATACGAAGACCGTTGTGGTTTACTCTTTTCTATACGTCAGGATGCTGAATTACACTTTCCATGAATTCAATTCATGGGATGCTAGTACAGTCTGTTTTTACTGAAGCTTTGAGATTATCTTTATAGTTTTTATCTCATTTATAATTTGACAATTACTCAGGCTGGTTTTGCTGAACTTTTTTGTTTCGGCAGCTCATTTGAGGGAAGCGATCAGGGCCCGGCACAGATCGTCTGGAAGCAGGCTGGACTTCGTTTCTGAAG